TTACGAGACATGCAACGTCGCGAACATCACGACTGGAGCCCCAGACCCCAGCTTTCTGCGTCAAAATTCGAGCCCGGTCGATCTGTGATGGTCCCGTGGCCCGAAACCGGGGTAACATGCCTGGAGTGATTCTGCAGCAAATCATGGGAGCCTTGCGCGTCCTCCAAGTTCCGTCTTTCGAATGCATTCGCGTGCGCTAGCGCTTGGTGATCGACGGAGGAGCGCCAATGCAGCTTCGACGTGCGTCGATCTAGCCTTGATCAGCGTCGAGCAGCGTTGGTCAGCGTCACATGGGAGGCTCCCATGCGTTGCCACAGAAGGGTAGAACATTGCAGCGCCTGGATCCTGCAGAATGGAGGTGCGCAGCTTTCCGAGGAGGAGGAGGAGGAGGAGGAGGAAGGAGGAGGGGGAGGAGGAGGAGGAGGGAGGAGGAGGAGGAGGAGGAGGAGGGAGGAGGAGGAGGAGGAGGAGGAGCAGGAGAGGGAGGGGATGATGATGATGATGATGATGATGATGATGATGATGATGATGATGATGATGGTGCTGATGATGATGATGATGATGATGCTGATGAGGATGAGGAGCAGGAGGAGGAGGACCTGTGTAAACCCAGGAGTCATCAACGATGTTGGGATCAACCCTTCCTCTAGGCTCCCTCTTCACAGGCCCCTACAACGGTTCATTTCCACTGAGGGAACTGCCTCGTTCGAAGACAACCGTTTGAATACCCTGCAGCATACTAAAACATTCTTCTCGGTACTCCAACGCCACGGACCAACCTCATTGTTGCGTCTTGACGATTCTGAATCGTGCCAGAACGCCACTCCTGGGACTTCAGCACCGCGAATCAAAGTATTTGTTGCGCCCTCATAACCCTGAAATTTTCCGAAGCACCATTTCTGGTACGCTGATCATGCGAACCCGTGAAACATTTGTAAGTAAAGCAAAACAGCGAATGTGCACGGCGCTAAGGGCCACATGTTGAAACCACCCGCCCTCAATTCGTGAAATTCTTGCATGTTTTGAAACGAATGTGCGCGGCTCTAAGGCGAGAGCCACATTTTGAAACAGAACCGCCCTCACTTCGTGAACTTCTTGCAAATTTTAAGTGCGAATGTGCACGGCGCGAGCCACATTTTGAAAACCACCTGCCTTCAATCCGTGAAGCTCTCGCGATTTTTTGAAACCAATGTTCGCGGCGCTACGGCGAGAGCTGCATTTTGAAAACCACCCGCCTTCAATCCGTGAAACTTTTAAATTTATTGAAACGAATGTGCGCGGCGCTAAGGCGAGAGCCACATTTTGAAAACCACCTGCCCTCCGTCCGTGAACTTGTTGTCAATGTTTTAAGCTTTGGGGTGCGACGGCGAAGTTATATATACGGAATCGTAATGGAGGAGGAGGAGGAGGAGGAGGAGGAGGAGGAGGAGGAGGAGAAGGAGGAGGAGGAGGAGGAGGGAGGGGGAGGGGGAGGAGGAGGGGGGGGGGAGGAGGAGGAGGAGGAGGAGGAGGAGGAGGAGGAGGGAGGAGGAGGAGGAGGAGGAGGAGGAGGAGGAGGAGGAGGAGGAGGAGGAAAAAGAAGAAGAAGAAGAAGAAGAAGAAGAAGAAGAAGAAACATAAGAAGAGGAGGAGGAGGAGGAGGAGGAGGAGGAGGAGGAGAAGGAGATCCGTAGCCATTGTGGCACAAGGCTAAACGTTGTGAAGGATTTTAGACGTCCGAGAATCAGCGATTAGCTTTGGACCCTTCCGTAGCCTGCTCTCGCTCGAGCGGCTTGGGGCACATTGCCCACGGGTTTTTGTCGCTGCGCACGAGCAGCAGCCTCGCGGAGATACGGCGCCATCATGCCGACTGTCTGCCCCGCCTGCCGCTGCCGCAAGAACAGGTCATAGTACAAGTGGTGCATGCACTGCTGGAAGCCGCTCCCGCATGTCAAATGTCGCTGATCCGCCTCCTTCCTGCAGGTGACTTGGGTGCTGACGGCTGGCGCGCTGGGCATCACAAGCGTCCTGCAGCCAGCTCAGGCAGTGGCGGCACCAAGCTCTTTGATGACCAGGTGGAGGCCCTCGCCGCCATGTCCGAGGAACACTTCACCAATGCGGTCGTGCTGTTCACCGCGGCGCAGCGTGGGCAGGTGGCCGCAGTGAGGGCCAAACACAGTGGGGACCCGCATGCTGTCACCAAGGGTGCGCAGCACGAGCGCACCCAGCTCAAGTCCAAGCTCCTCGCCGTCGGCAAGAAACTCGATCGATCGGCCCAGCTGCAGGATCAGCTTGCGCGCGTGGTGGCCTTGCGCAAGAGCAGCAGGAGTTCCTGGAGCAGGAGCAACTGGCGGCAGAGCGTTCGCAGTAGGCTTGGGCGCAGATCGTGGGAGGAGTGTCGGGCACTGTTGCAGCGTTGGCGAGGAGGCGCCCGAACGCTTGCTCTTCAGCGCTTCCAGCAGCCCGACCCTGTCCTCGCCATGCAGTTCACCAAGCTGCTGGAGGCCAAGGCCCAGGTGGAGAATGCGCAGGCAACACAGCGTGTGGCGGCTGCTCCGTCGCCGCAGGTCGCTGATCTCGTACTACTTCAAGCAGCTCATGCCCAGGTGGTAGACTCTAATCGTGATGAGGGCTTCGACGACGAGGATCCCGATGGCCTGGATGACGCCTGGGCGGATCTTGCACACAAGGCCGCCTCCGTCGAACACGCGGTTCTCTGCAGTTTGGTTAGTGGCGGGGTGGCGGCTACAATTGCACAGGTCAACGGCACCGATCCTGGGCAAATGCGTTGCGTGCTTCAAGATGTCCTACGCACTGCTGGGCACTCTGTACCTCGCTCCGCTCCTGCTGTCGTCGCCGACCCTACCCATCGTGTGCGTGATGGCTCGCGCTCGCCAAGGGGAGCAGGGACCTCTTCCTAGCCCAGGCAAGTCTCGGGACTGGGTCTTCGGAACTTCAATGTCACAGAGTACTCAAGTCTGGAGCGAGTTTTGGCTGTTCTGGTTTTGACGCCCTGCGCGTGCAAGAGGCACATCAAGCTTTGGACCTCGATTGCGAGGAGGTCGCTCTTCGGCGGGAGGGGTGTCTGCCAAATCTATACCGGCTACTGCTACCCAGAATGGTGGCACGTTTGGAGGCCCGCTCACCGTGGTTTCCAAACTAAGCAGGCTCAGCACTCTGGAGACCCAGACGGGGGCCATCTTGCCTGGGCGCTGTTCCCTACTACGTGTAGGAGGTCTGGTCAAGGGTGGCTTTCGCTTGGGCAATACCTATCTCAAGAATGGGGGCAGTCTCGCGGACTTCAATTGGGGCATTCTCTCGAGGCTCGGGGGCGCTCTCAAATCCGCGCGCAGTCCCTTCATTATATCAGGTGGTTGGCAATTGGAACCGTAGCAGCTCGAGTCCTCGGGTTTGCCAGCGGCTCTAGATGCTCAGACTGTCGCGCCTTCGGTTGGTACTTGCTCGCCAGCAGGGCGCGTCATCGATTGTTCTGTCGTATCTTCCATTGTGCTCGGTGGACACGGTTGACGTGCTAGACGAGATTGACACCTATCCTCGCCCGCCTGGCGGTGTGGTGACGGACAGTTTCTCTGGCGCTTGGTGACCTACTTCGCGTGCGGCACCGTGTTTGGGGATAAGCTGCAAGCGTGGACTTCAAGCGCCGACAGGTTCCGCAAGCTCTCCAAGGCCCACGCGTTGCCCTCTGAGCATATCTACGTTGCGTGGGCTTACGTCTTGGGTAACATAATTGTGACTCTTGGGGGGGGGGGGGGCTCTCAAACAGTTGGCGGATCATGCAGCCCATGCGCAGAAGCAGCAATCAGCATTTCGCAAGTAGCAGCAATCGAGACAGTGGGTTGACGCCCGCTTTGTGGGGCTTCTGAGCTGCACTCGTTCTCTGAACTTCCGATTGGCTGGCGGCCCAGCGTGATGGGGCACAGTGCGCTTCGCCCTGCCAACGCACGGGAGGAGGTAGACATGCCGCAGAAGGAATCGGGAGATTGGTGGAAGGTGCATGCTGAAACGCGGCCTCTGGAATGGCCTGATTCCCTCGATGTTCGTCTTCCCCCTTCCCACCGTTTTGGAACTCCAAGCTGTCCTTCGCAACTTCCCGGCCAAGACTGGTTCAGGATTCGACCAACTCCGCCCGCGCAGCAATCGGATTCGATTCGGCGCTCCAGCGGTTGTGTGAGATCGTGGCCGATATCGGGGCTGACCTCGCCTGGCCGCGCATGTGCAGTTGGATTGTTTTCATCGTGAAGCGGGTTGGAGGTGTGCGGCCTCTGGGGCTGCTACGCGTGCGATGTCGTGCGCAGAGTCGTTTTCGCCGCCCGTGCACCACTGACTGGCAGAATTGCAATTTTCGTGACTTCTGGTGGTCCTTTCGCGGGCGCTCAGCTGACAAATGTGCTTGGGTTTCAGTGCTTGGCCGGAAGGCTGTTGCCCGGGCACCGTCCTCCTTGGCCCGAAGAAAGCCTCTGAATGCGTGCAGCGTCGGCATCTCATGCAAGCTGCAATTATTCGCATTTTCCTTTTTGGCAACTGAAGCGTCTCATTGATTGCCCCCCTGCGCCCCGCATCTTACATCTTCATGGGGGTGTGCAGTGACGTTGCGCATGTGCAGCAGACTGATGTGCCAGGTTGTGGTTTCGCCACTTTGATGTTGCAATTGTTGCTGCTTGGACCCCTCGATAGAGCGCGCGCCGTGCGTCGTTCGGTCGCCCCGGCGGCCAATCTTGATGACTTCTCGCTGCAGCGCCTTCGTGGGGCGGCGGCGCGTGGGCCAGGGGCTGGAAGCCACCGCGAAGCACTTCGTGTCGGAACTTCAAGCCGTAGAAGTGCAACTGGCCCTCGACAGTGGCAGGGCCTTCGGCAACTCCAGGGCTCTGCGAGCTCGGGTTGCGCGAAACTTCGGTCTTCTGCGGGCCCAGTCCGTGGGCGCCGAGAGAAATCTTCGAGTTGACTTTGCCGCGGGGCATGTCCAGCCCGGGAAGGCCGCTGCCGCCTGGTTCGGGGCCATC